ATCGATGATGGCGAGGTGTATGCGGCGATGAGTGTGGGTGCCGACGCGGTTCCTCAACGCCGTTTGCGTCTGCGACTCCGCAAGATGGATGAAGACGAGACCGAGGCTGCTGGTAAGTTAGTGGAGCGGCTGTCTGCGAAGCTGGCGGCCAAGATCGCGGACGCCAGCGGCTGGGAGGAGGCAGAGGGCTACATCACAGCCCTCCCCTATGCACTCTATGATGAGTTGCAGCCTTACTCCCAGTCCCAGCACTACGCGCCGCCTCGCTCCCAGCGCCAACCGGCAGCCGTGCGCCAACAGGACAAGCACCCCGCACAGCAGCACAGTCGTAAGCAGCAGCGACCGCAGCGCACAAGACAACGCTCCAGTCGTCGCCGTCGCGGTCAAGGCGGTTCGAAGGGTGGTACCAAGGGTCGACGTCGCCCACCTCGGGTGACTCGACACCACCGGGAGCACAGCCTTGACGAAGCGCTCGACGACATGCATGCTGTGCAGCGCTACGACCCGGGTAACCGCCAGGCTATGGCGAAGGCGCGTCGACGGGTTGGACGGATCAACTCCGCCCTCGATCAGCAGCGTCTTCGTCATCAGTTTGACGTTGATAAGAAGGCCTGCGTCGAGCGAATTCTTGCGGATGCTTCGTCTCCTACTCGCACCACTAGTGCGGACGCCTTGCCCAGTGCGCCGTCTGGAGAACCTCGTGATGATGTCGATGAAGGTACTTGCCTCATATTGGGCGAAAAGCTTCACGACTACTTCACGCGGGTCAACACTCCCATGCGTGACTTTGACGCGATGGCACCCATTGGCGCACTGTTCCGCGACGCGCTACAACCGCTTGCCCGTGGCTTCCAGCGAGATGGAGCTGCTCATTGATGCGCCCTCCGCTGACGAGATTGAAGCCCAAGTGCAGCGCGCACGTGGCAGCTCAAGTCCCGGCCTTGGACGGCGTCGGCTACGACGTGTTCAAGATGTTCACGGCCCAGCTTCTGCCCGCTCTACACGCAGCATTCGCGTGCTGCTGGAAGCACAAGCGTGTGCCGCAAAGCTGGAAGGTTGGCGTGGTGCGCCTGCTGCACAAGAAGGGCGACCGGTTTGACCCGTCGAACTGGCGACCGATCTGCCTGCAGCAGGCCATCTACAAGCTGTACGCTGGGGTCTTGTCGCGGCGTTTCACGCGCTGGCTGGATGTGAACGGCCGCCATGCTGAGGCGCACAAGGGCTTCCGAGCGATGAACGGCTGCGGGGAGCACAACTTCCTCGCAGCCACGCTCGTTGACCAAGCGCGCCGCAAGCACCAGGAGCTGCATGTCGTGTGGTACGACTTCGCCAATGCCTTCGGCAGCGTGCCACACGACTTGCTTTGGGAAGCGATCGAGCGACAGGGTGTGCCGCCCGCACTCACCGCTTGCTGCCGTGGTCTCTACTCCGACGCCGTGTTCACGATTGGGAATGCGGCGGACGGGACCACGGCGCCGATTGCGTTGCAGGTGGGGGTGTTCCACAACAAAACTTGGTAGCTAGTTCATCCGGGTGTTTAGCGAGAAATTAAGACCCTGATTCCGAATGTGTATATACACGCCCACTTCGTGTACAACTTAATCTAGCATGATGTTGCGACTGACGAGTTCGAACTTTTAGGACCGCGCGAGCAGCAATAAATCGGATGAGCAGAGTGCATTATTATACATATAAATCTAAAACTTTCCAGTTGGTTGTTTGTTTTTGTATCCACAATACTTAGAGTTGCAGACGATTGCTCGAAGATTGCAAGCGAGATTAATGATAGATTTACCGTTCAGTCGAGTCAAGCACGCTATTTCACTGGCGTTCCCTATGTTGAAGCCTAAAATAAGCTTAGTGAAGTGTTTGAACTTAAAGGAAAGGTGCTAAATTGATGTGATGCGTTACTTATATGCACCAGAGTGCAGTAAATTTGCAGAGATGTTATACGTGCACGTGTGTGTACCAATGGTGCACGCCAGTTATTTGAATGTTGTGCTTTACATATATCTTGTGCGCTTGTAGCCTGGCTGACTTAGTGTGGCTGCATCATCCGAGGTAAGTAATTAATAAATGGTCTGAGCATAAGAGATGACTCAGCCTCTAAGGCCGGACGTATTGGGTTCATTAGCTCGCCTGCCAGCAGCGACGTCTACTACGTTTGAGATGATGACACTATAAGAGAAACAAGAAAGACGTCGCTGGCTCAACCGTTGGAAGCATAAAACGTGTGGACAGCATTTAATAAGTACGTGATAGGATAATATCGCACTTAAAATGTATCACTTTTACGGGTTTCTGCGCCGCCGCTACGGACCTCAAGTTCTTAATCACTGAATTTAGTGCAAGTTTCAGCAGACTGCGGCTCGAAGTTGTTGGGGATTCTTGAAAAGGAATCGTTTCTACTGAGATACCCTCAGCGCGATCTGATGGGCGCTATGATGTACACAGCGACATCACGCGAGAGGTTGGCGAAGATGCCAAATGTTTATAATTCTACGATGAAATTTTACTGGAAAGCGGCTAGGTAAATTCAGTAATTTCTGATAAAACTTGGGGTTCATGCAACACGTTTAGCGGCGATAGAACAGAATGCTATTACAAAAGGCGGGTATTATCTGAGCCGGTGACTTCGACACGCGGCGATCGACAACATGTTATGTATTCGAAACAAATTATAATGAATTTTATTGAATTAGTAGCGTTAGGCGACGATTGCGACGTCAACGGCTTAAGTCAAATTAATGAGTCTGCACAGCGCACCGCAAGCAGAAAATGGCTTTTAAGTCAGCCTAAGGAATTTAATTAAGTGCCGACACGGCGAGGACATCCATTAAGTAAAGGTAAATATGTTTTGCCTTAATTAATACTCGATATATCACTTGCGCATGAAACACATCGACACAAAAATTCAATTTTTCGTGAGAAGGGTTTCGAGCAATCGCGCTCGAGTTCCAGCCTACAGAAACAAGGTCGCGGACCAGGTCACAGGGCGCAGTCGAAAGGAACGCCGTAATATATTTATTAAGGTTTATGCATGACGGTGGAATACTTGTCTTTTCGCACGAACATTAAGGAAGTAAGTTATGAAGTGATAGTGGGCGTTTTGTTTGAATTTTGAAAAAAATGTAAGGAGTAGAGATAGGCTTTAAGGATAGCCATTATATTTAAGCGTCCTTTACCTTAATTTATACGTCGGATGGCTTATTCATCTTGTTTTAATTGGTTAGAAATGCCACGCTATTGACTTAAGAAAAGTCCCAGCGTGGAAAAGTCGCAAGTTGATTGCGACATACATACGCGAACTAGTGTTTATGTTTCACCAAATCATTGACCTTATCAAAATTTCGTCCATTAGACGCCTCACTAGCAATATTTACTCGATGGTAGGACTAATCGCTAGAAAGGAAAATAACACCCTCATTTATCCAAAAATGAAATAATCCCTGATATTTCAGAGCCTGAGATATTAATGAATGACAGCTAAAGGCTTTTATAGGCTATCTGTTTGGATTGCAAGAGCTTTTAAAAACCTATAATTTTTATAGTTACATACTATACCATAAAGCCCATCTTCTGTAGAGCAACCAGCTGTATGACGTCGTTGAAAGCAACAGTGTACGTCACATTAGTACCTAATCGCGCAAAGACAAGCCTTATGTATACCCTTGTCGCTATATAAGCAAATTCTGCAGTTCGCTATTAATTTGTTTATGCACATTTAAAATTTTGACAATAAACTGAATGTTGACAATAGCCTTACAAATGTTGGGATTCATGTTTGAATCTTGACAATATTAGCACGAACATCAGGAGGCAAGTATAAATGTTGACAATAGAATCACAAATGGGAGTGTGCAAGCTGAAATTGTATCAATAGTAGCACAAATGTTAGGACGCAAGTTTTAATGTTAACAACAAAATCACGGATGTTGATACACAATAATGAAGGACAATGCGATGAGCACAAACATTGCGGTCCAAACAATAACTTTTTGGCAATGAGAAAGGAATAACTGTGGTATATGAATCAAAGATGACTGTTTATCCTAATTTGTTTATGCTTTTAGACCGCTGATCGAATAGAGGTTATTATATAATGTTAAATAAGCGTAAGTCTGTAGGGCTTACAAGAGAAGGGTGACAATCTGGAAAACATTCCACAGTAGCGCGTTGCGACGGCTTCCCAGAATCAAATACTTTGTTCGAAAAAGCCAGTATTCAGTCCTCATACTTATAATGACAGAGAAGTGCATGCATCACCAACCGATTTTCGCCCTTGACAAGAAAAAATTCTACAGCCATATGTGATGTGTAATTATTATACGAGTTGAATGACAATACTGATAAAGAAGAAAGTAGCAGTGCCCAGCCATCGGCACCGCCGTGAAGGCCTTCGCTCCGTCGGATTTACTGCACACGTCAAGGGGAAGAGCTATATCTGCATTCCATGTTTCTGGGCATTGGTAGTGTTGGGAAAGCAACAATCGAATCGCCAGTGTTGAAAAATGTGTCCTTAAGCAATTATAAGCTATATGCGGCGGGATGAGTGCGCGGCGATGCACTATCGCAAACGATTCTACCAGCATCACGGCATAACCCATGTACGTATCAAGTCGGAATCGTACTGGAAGCCGGGCCGGGACTCGAAGAAATACTCGTGTCTGGAGTCACTCGTGTTCGGATGGTACGGATTCGCAACTTTCAAGCGCAAGATACGCAAGACAGTGTTAGTGCAAGCAACATCACACGGTCCATTCCCTCCAGAGCACGTATCTCGACGAGTGTTTTGTATTGACCTACAAGGAGCTAAGCCTCGTGAAGATCGAATTTGGCTTCAGAGCATTGGCGCTATTCCGTCCAAGAGCATTGTCAAAGTCGACGATCGCGATGTGGTCGTGTACTGAAAGGACGCTTGGCAAGACGAAACTTGCCTGTACCCCAATGTTTGCCAAAAGACTCCAAAAGACCTCCGCAAGGCAGTCAAAAGAGCCGCCATGCCACTCAGCGTGGCCGCTCAGTCCAAGAACGGCTACGACCCCGACGCTCAAGTTCCGTCTGATGTGTTGACGAAACGCATTCGCGCTCGAGTCGACAACACACTTGGCTGCAGTAAAGAATACACTGACGGGACTGTACGGATTGGTGGGCTGCGCACTGCGTTTATCATCGCGGGTCTAAACATTACCTCAGTCTTTATTGATGTCGGATGCTGGTATGGAGGCCCAATGCAGCTCGCAAAAGAGATATTTGGTGTCAGGGTGGCACTTGGCATTGAAGTCTGTCGAGATCGTGTGACGCAAGCTCTATTGCGCGTCAAGACCACCAAAGTGTCACTCTTTCCAGTGCATTTCCCAGCCGAGTGCTTTGAGTACTACGATCCAGCCACACACGTTTTCGTGTTTAGTACGGCCATGGGCAATCTGGCGTTGGCTGCAATTTAGTGCGCCATCGCTCGTTCACAGTCGGTGCTATATGTCATCACTGAAAAGCGATGTCTATGCGAGATGGACCTGCCAGGCAACCGATTAAAACTCATCAGAAAATTCAAAGTGACGAAGTCGGAGTCTAATGGCGGAGGTGATTTTACTATGTGCATATATCAGCATGTCGACTTCGGTGCGTCGCTCTCGTGATACACTCGTATACCGTGTCTTGCTTAAAAATACTAATTCAACGTGTGCTAGCTTCCTGAGCGACCGAGCGCAAGCACCCAGCGTTTCTCCCTGCGGTGTTCATGCAGCGCTACAAACCGACTACCTACTTACAATACCTAGAGTCGCAGCTTGTCGACCTACAGCAGTCAAATCGGAACTACACGCAGCGTTTCTTCTGTTCGGCGATGGCGGCGCCACCTACCCCGCATCCTTCGACGACATAAATACATAGGGAGCAGCAGCATGCCAATAAGATTGAGCGTAACATCAAGTATTAATGAAAGTCGCATGTTAACTTCGTTGCTCTACTATCGTGTTGTCATTTATCATTACCTCTACTATCCTACTGTCGGTTGCTGCGCTGCTGACTGCGTGGTTGCGCTACTCCACTTGCACGCGTGCGCGTCGTCGACTTCGTCATCCTTGATTGTCGCCGTCGACTTGGTTACCGCCATCTTCTTCTTAGACTTCTTCGGTTTTGTAGCTGACGACAGCGACAACGACGCTGGAGGTCCCGAAGTCTGCGGTGCACGAAGAGACTCCGTTGCTTGCGATTTGTGGACTGCGTCGTCGCTTGAACGCTTTCGCTTCCGCACCACGTCGTCAAGCGCGACCTAAAAGACAGGTAGAGTGTGGGTTAGTTTCGCGATTATACAGGCACAGAGCCATGGTTCAAACCTACCTTTTTCCGGTGAGTCTGTCATGTGAGGCTTGCGCTTAGCATTGACGACGACCTTGCCGCTGCGAAGATGAAGTGCGTCTTTGTTAAGACTCAAAGTTTGGAGCTGCTTCAGAAAGTGAGTCCGGGGAGCCATCGTTGTTAGTGTCGCCTAGATTTGTTTGTTACAAATGTATGAAATGAGAAAACTCAAGAAGATGAAAGCCCCAGTGCCCAGGTATGGGAACCGCCGTAAGGATTTTTTGTATTGTGGCCTTATTGTTTCTCTTGTTAAGCGCAAATACCCAATGTGTCTTAAAGGCTTCTTCATTTCTGACCCGTACATTGCCCATGCACTTGTCCTCGACCCAAATTCTTCGCTGAGCTTGCCTACAATCTTGTTTAAGACCTTGCTGCCATGCGCGGTGGCGTCTTCAGAGCAATTTAGCTCCGACGGTTCGACTAAATGCATTGAGCAGAGAGTTTTCTATCCATCCTCTTTGCTTCTTACTTCAACACACCATGGTGCTCGTTGGGAACCGCTAGTGTACCACCGGCGTCTGCAAAAAGTACAGATTTAACGAGCGCGGATAGATAAACTGTAACGGGGTACGCCCTTGCCATATGAATGGCAAGACCCTATGTTGACTGAACACAGGCTTGCGTGCTCTCGACGTCACGTACACGTGTTGTGAGAGGAAGCGCTGCGAAGTAGACAGAACATTTTCTGCTTGAGGAAAATCTATAACTGTTATGAATATTGTTATGTTGATTTATAAATAATCTTATGTCCTAATCAAACTATATCAAACTACAATCTCCAATATAGGTTTCTTGCCCACCACCCATTGCGCGCGTCCAGAAGCGATTAATGGTTAATTTATATAATGTACCGTGTACCATGACCGTTAAGTGGATCACCAGAAAATGGTTACCCTCGAGGTAACATGCAGTCAACATTTATTCGTCTCGAGTGATGTTGTGTGATTATAATCTACATAGATATAATGCAAAAAGTGTTACCATCATACTAACTTTTTATGTAAGAGGCTCACCTCGTTACATTGACGCTCTAAGATTCACTTGACACAGTAGTGCTAGGTGCTCTTTTGAACAGCCACTCGCGTGAGAGCAAAGCTGGTAGGTTTATCAGTAGCTTTTTCTTCACACACTACGGCCAGATCACCCAGCTACCGTCTTCGTGCTGTAGTTGAACAGCTGTAGATCCAGCCGCAGCGCTGGGACCTCAAGTCCAGGTACCGTTTGGTTGACACAGAGCTCTACCCGGTCTGTCTGCCACCAGACCTCGAAAGTAGAGGACGCTCAATGATCTTGAGAGCTTCGTCACGTATTTCACAGACGAAATCCATTATTATACCGCAATAATTCAAAATGTGGGCCAACGTCTCCGACCGTAAGTATTAAGGATGCTTGCATTTGTCATGCGCACGAGGTCAAGATCGCTTCAGCGCGATTTTGTATACAGCTAGTTCAGGCAAGCAGCAAAAGCGAACCGGTAGTCGGGTTCCCACGTGCCTCTCGGCCAAGTGAGGAACCCACTACCGGCACCTCCATGTGTGCGTGCTGTCTTGCCTTGATCCCGCACGGCTGACCATCGCGTCCAATGCGCATTCTTAAGGTGCAACTTCACGTGGCGAAGAACTGAGCGATGGCCGAGCCATTTGGCATGGTGCGGCACGCGGAGCTGAAAGTTCACCGCAGCTTCACCTGTCTCCTCGCAAGCAGGGGACGTCGCAAAGTGTAGACCAAACCGTTGCAGGTGACCGCGGATGTCAAACCACAGCTACACAATGTCGCCATTTCGACGCTTGGGCAGGGCCGAGGGTGACGTCCCCATTTTTTCTGTTGATGAATAGTTGACCTAACTCCACCTCACGGTCCTTCCAGGCGTGTTCATCCAGCTTGTACCAAGCGTCAGCAACCTAGCTAAGTTGCTGGCGGGCAATACGACGGAAAACAAGGTCCGATGAGAGTATCATCTGCCATCCATGATCCCCTTGAAGTGCACTATGCAAATCCACCAGTGGCAAGAGCCCCAAATTCCACGAGAAATCGGTCCGTAGAAGAAAGCAGTGGTGGAGTTTGTGGGCAGACGTAACATGTGTCGGAGCCCACGAACCAGGTGGCCGTCAAACCTCTCCAGCTGCTGGGCGAAAGGCCGTTAGTGCCGGAGGGAGTAGTCGATGCGTGGGTATAGGTATACCTTGACCGCCTTCACCACCTGCCACGGTGCGAGCCCCGACTCAAGCAACGTCGTAGTATCCAACTTAAGCTGTGTCAGTGCGGGAGAAAGCTCCACCCATCGTCGCACGTGGTCGAAGCCATTCCCGATCCCCAGATATTGTGTATGCTTCATCCAATCTAAGCGAGGGGATCGGGGTGCCATCCAGGTCCAAGCCAACATCCTGAACTTGGAGCATGGAACGACTGTTACGCTTTACCGACATGGTACGGCACTTCAAAGGGTTGGCCTCCACACCAGTCCAGCGTAAGAAGTCAACCACCAGTCCATGCTGCTTCTTGATGCCAGCCTCCGAGCTACAAAAGACCTCCAGGTCGTCGTCATACGCCGAAGCGCCAGGACAATCAGCAGGAGACAACTTCACCCCCGTGTCCGGAAGCTGGTGCAGCGCTAAAAGCAATGGTCTGATGGCGGCGTTGAAGAGCTGCGGACTGAGCGAAAAACCTTGAAAGACGCCTACCCGCTGGCGAATCGGTGCCGTCAAGCCATCACTGACGTTGCCAACAACGAAGACAGCGTCTTCGTACAGCCCCTTGCACATGGCAATGTAGTCCTGGGGCACACCAAGTCTTCCCAGCGAATCCCGTAGCAACTGGAAGGGCACACTGCCGAACGCATTCTTGAGGTCATACTAAACCTGGAAGAGTGGATGACGCTTGCGGCGGGAGTTGTCAATCGTCATAGTTGCAAGGAAATTATGCTTTCGCAACCATTCACCGCCCGAAAGCTCTTCTGTCCAGGAGCATGGCGCTCATTGAAATCCACCCAGCAAGTCAAACGACGCGATAGAACCCCAGATAATAGCTTGTAGATAGTTTGCTGGAAAAAAATGGGCTTTCAGTTTGCCGGGTCAGATTTGGTCCCTTTCTTGTCGAGAAGACGAACGACGCCAACTTTACAGCTCTGAGGGACTTTCTTCTCCATCCAGCAGCAAGAAAAGATCACCGTTAGAGCTGTCATCAGTTGGGGGCCAAAGCGTTTAAAGACATCTAGCCCACGCCATCGATCCCCTGACTGGGAGCACCACGAGTGTGTTGAAGTTGATCTTCATTATCACCAGCCGTGGGAGCCGCGGTGAGTAGCTCCCTTAACTTCGAGTAGACAGGAAGTCGAGCCATGGCCGAACGGAAAGCAGCACCGGTCAAACCATGAACGTCAAAGCCACGCCGGGGAGTGTTCACACCATCAAAGTAACTCCATAAGACATCGCCGGCGATAGGTCATATCTCATCGTCCGCATCCGCAACAGGAGGAATAGCAGCACCTAAAGGCAAGGCAAAATCAATCACAGGGGTGAAAGCAACCTGTACCCGGTGTGCCTTAGACAGAATCATCTCCGATCAGGCCTTCTTGTACGTGTTGAATTGCCACGGAGACGCAGCTGATACATGGCCGAGTTAAGTAGCCCAACCCGCCTCGAGCCTTAGCAATTACCAAGCGATCACCCAGCGTGCTTCGCGTCACAGCATGAAGTTCGTCGAGAGCTTCATTCATGCGATGTTCCCGATGGTGGCGGGTAACACGAGGTGGTCGTCGGCGTCGCTTGGTACCATCCCAAGAACGTCAAGGACCACGTCGACGACGGACGCTCGCACGGCGTGGTGAATGACCAGCAGCGCCAGACGAATTATCAGCAGACGAGGAAGCACCGGAGACAAAGCGATGTCGATCGGTGGTGCCATTGGATGTGTGAACTGAACGAGTAAAGGCGAAAGATTGCAGCAGGTCCTAGAGATCATGCAGGAGGGAAGTGATATAGCCTTTTTGATGTCTCCCAGTCTGACGCATCCGCGATTTTCGAAGCCAAGGATTTCCCAAGGCGCTCCACTAAATACCTTGCAGTGGCATCTTTGTCGTCCGTGAGGCGGCGTAGACTTAGACGCGGTCGGCGTTGCGGAACAGCAGCTGGTCCAATGCGCATGGGCGCGTACACGGTGCCGTCGTCAATATCGCCCGCATCGTCCATGTCAAAGTCCTCAGGAATTTCCCCGAGGTGGTCAGCCAAACTCGAAGAACCAGGTGGAGGCGACTTGCTAAAAGTGGCGACAGTGGCGTCGTCAGCCAGAAGCAAGGTGCAACCAACACCATGGTCGTGGACAACACACTCCACCTGGGATACCCGGCGATCGAGAGCCGCGTTAGCCAAACGATCGGCATAGCCGTCGGTCTGTCATGCGATTAAGTTTTGATTCACCATTTGCAAACTTGCCAGCCCAGACTTGACCGCGGACCAAAGGTGGCGTAGACGGTGATTGCGTGTTGCAAATACGCCACACACCTGCTGGATGACGAGGTTGCTGTCATCCTCGATGCGCAGGTGCGTGGCTCCATGGTCGGCGGCGGCCCTGGCCCCGAGCAGCAGCGCGGTGTACTCTGCCGTGTTGTTGGTGTTGCTGCTGCTCGGCATGTAGTGGGAGCAAGTCCATACGACAGGGCCGCTAGGCTTGAACAGTGCAGATCCCGCGCCGCCAGGTCCATGGTTGGACCAGCAGGCACCGTCGAAGCGAAATAGCCACTCGCCAAAAGCGTCGTCGTCCATCGTAGGCGTAGCTTCATCCATCGTAACAGTAAATTCACCGCCCGTGTCCATGTCGTCCGTCTTAGTCTCCTCCACGTCCATAAGGTCTCGAGGGAGGAGACGGTCAGCAATCCGGGATACCACCACGCTGCGAGGCAGTGGTGGACCCCAGCGGGAAGCAGAAACAGCAACAGCGGCCGAAACAACAGGAGTTGTAGCGGGTGGACGCACGGGCGGGGCACTCCATCTTGTACTTGACCTCTTAGACCTTGACCTTGACCTTGAAGTTGCAGTGGGGGTGCTCGACTGTGGGGGGGACACAGCGAGCACCGCGGGTTCTTCGTCGGGCAGTCGAGCAGGCAAAACATCCGCTGAAGCGGTTGCATTGACTGCATCAGCAGCGGGGCTGAAGTCCCCTACTGCTGATGCAGTCGCAGCCACAGTGTTCTGGAGGCTGGCACATGCTTGTGCATGGTTTGTTGCAGCCAGCCTCGACACAAACGGAGTATTACACGCGCAACCTGCTGAAAAGCGGTCAACAAAGGTTTCGCGTCGGTGCCTTGACTCCCGGTGGCGGCGCAGCGAGGCAAAGCTTGATGCCGTGTTTGCACACAACGTGCACCGGAAGTGGTGCCCGTTGTGTGTATACACGGACAGGACGGTGGCCGGTGGTTCGCTGGCCATGAGAGGCGTTCGCGACGAGTTTAGAGAACCGGCCTCGACGTCCTCGAGCAGCAGTTGCTCGGCAACCTCGCGTGGGTCGCCACCGGGAAGGTCGTCCAAGCGTCGGCGCTTGCCCCCGATGCGTAAAGCAGACGGCGAGGGCAGCGGAGATGGGGTGCCAAATGGCCACGGCGACCCTTGGTCGACGTCTATAGGCACCGCCGTGATCATGGCAGGTGCCGCACCGGCGGGCAGCATGCGAGCCGCCCTGCCGGGTGCGCAAACATCATCGGGAGGGAACCCGGGTGAGAGAACGAGTCTGTCGTCGCAAGGCAGAGGTACGTCGTACCCGACTCGGTCTGGCAGCATGGGAGCCTGCCAGCCGAGTCGGTAGTCACAGAAAAGTGGTCCATAAACAAATGCTGCAGTGGACACGGCCTCGGGGTGGGCGTCGTGCATGCCCACGAGAGGTGCCGCGGCCACTGCAGTATTTCCAGCTCGGGCAGGCAGCTCCGTAGCTACATGCCCGAGCTGGTCGTCATCACTCGAGTCCATGGCTGCGTCGTCGTCCAACGAAGAGGAGTAGTCTGCTTCCCAGTCCTCCCCGTCGCTGCTGCTGTCGTCCTGTGGGTCGCTGGAGCCATGCACGGCATCCAGTGCGCGAGCCGTAGCGGCTGCAAGCGCTGACCCGTTGGGCAGCATGCCTCCCGCCCTGCCGGGTTGAAAACCAAACATCAGGGGGTCTTGGGCAGCGGCGGCGGGCGCGGGGGCAGGCGGGGACGCGGGGGGGGGGGGGGGGGGGGGGGGGGGGGGGGGGGGGGGGGGCGAGGCTTGGCCGTGGCGGTGTTCTCGACTGACGGCCGCGCCTATACTTAAACCAAGTCCAGGCGCGAGGGTACCGTCAGCGGCCACTGTGGGCGCGTAGTGGGGGTCGCCAACCCCTATACTGAGGCCCAGTATAGGGTCCCCGACACTGTTTGTGTGTGCGGGGTCCGTGACCCGCACTAGTGACCCTAGTGACGGGGACGGATGTCGGCTGACCCCTTCCCGATCCCCGAAACGACGCAACGTTGAAGCGGAGGACCGGGATTGATCTTGGCCGCTGTGGGCCTCGGCGCGCGATGGCGCTTGGCGTGCAATAGGCGTGGCGTGTTGCGAGCACGTGCCTGAAATTGCAGCGTCGGCGGGTGCGTCGTTGCGAAGTTGTTGCAACGCGCGTGGCGCCACTCGGGCGCCCTCCGCCGACGAAAACGGGGGCAAAAGGGGTGTGAAAATCACACTTTGCCTTTCTGACCAATCAGTGCCGAGCACTTGGTCAGACCCGGATTCGACAGTCGAGGGGTCGTGGACAGCCGTTTCGGCGCCCATCCCTGAGGAAACTGCTGTTTCCGGGTCGCCCGCCAGCCCCGTCTCAGCGTCAGACGACGCGTCATAGAAGGACGCGTCGCTGGCGAGACTAGAATGGCTGGCCGTGGAGCACTCGCTATCGTCGGATAGAGAGCGCTCCCGGGGCTCCCAATCCGGCCACCAGAAGCGCATGCAGATGCGAAGGTGTAAAGCCGGTTAGGGAGCAGAAAGGCCGAAAGACAAAGTCGATCGAACACTAGTAGAAAAGAAAAAGTGTATTAATTATGTGTATCGTTGGCCTCACGGGGGATGGGTGAACGCCCCCGGAGACCTGCGCAGTCGCCCGCGCGTGTCCAAAAATGAATGTGAAAAAGTCCGCCAAAAGGCGAAAACCAGTCTTCACACTGATTAGAACAGAGAAGTGTATGTATTACCATCCGGTTAGTCTATTTCTAAAGGGTATAGAAATACCCAATAGAAACTATGTGGTGTGTAAGTTGGGTACAGGTTGAACCACACAGAGCTAGACTATAACGTACCGGTTGGGTTTGAAGGGCGGTGTCCTACCTGGATAGTGCCCTGTCGGTCAAATGACCCGCTTATCGCCGTACCTGTGTCCGCGATCTGCTCCGCGGGGTCCCCCCAGACCCACGCGGTGCTCCCGAGGCACCACCACTGCGCTGTAGATCACGGTGAAGACGACAATGCCCGCTCCATATCTTGTGGCCTGATCGTATGCAGTGGCTCGACAGCTGAAGATCCAGCTGCCGGGCTTCACGCTTAAGCAGATGCAGCATCTCCGTGTATGTCTTGAAGTTGCTGGGATACACCGATCCCAGCGTGCCATAAATCAGTGCTGCAGACTGCACTCGCCACCCCTTCAACCGCATCTCATCCGCAATAGGCTTGTACTTTAGCATCTTGAAGTCATGGCTGCTGTGAAGTGAGGAGTGGCGGGCGCCAGCAGCATGGTCCTCAAACGTGACCGCCAAGTCAGCGATAAATATGGTCTTGGCGGTCACATCGCGCAGCACGATGTCAGGGCGCAGAGCTGCACCAGTGTACTCGGGGACTGTCTGATTCAGGCGAAGCTCTGCGCCGGACTTGGTGCGAACGAGCGCTTGCCGAATCTTGGCACCGATCTGCTCGAGTGCACTATCGTGACGCTGGCGTATTGCGCCCATATTGGGCGCACAATGATTCAAAACGTGCGCCAGCGTCTCGGCACTCGAGCAGTTCGGCGTCCGGCAACGGGCATTGGCTCGCAAGCGGCGTCGCTTGAGCACCGAGTTAGTGTCCACTTGGTTCAGGCGAGCCTGGATGCCGAAACGGTGTTCAGCATCGGACAGGCTCGCTCCCGACATCACAAACTTGGACCCTGGTCCACCGTGTACCCGGGCCGTCTTGCCTTGATCCACCAGACTCTTCCACCGAGTCTGGTGGCGAATCTTCATGTGCAACTTCACGTGCCGCAACACAGTCTTGTGGTCAAGCCACTTGTCATGGTGCGGCACGCGAAGTGCGAGACGGTCTTGTCCAGACTCTGCAGTGGTATCAGAGAACTTGAGTTGGTGGACGCATAACACTCGCTGTACGTCCACCCACAACGAAGCGATATCACCCGAACGTCGATTGGCGGTGGCATGGGGAGACGACGCAAGCTCCGAGTTCAAAAATAACCGGATGAGCTCGTCGTCTCGACCCACCCAGTGGTCTTCAACAAGCCGGTAGCGCTTGCGCACCACCTGACACACCTGTGCCTGTGCCACCGCCACGATAGCGGGGTCCTTCGAATGCAACATCTGCCACGCGTGTGCCACCTGCAGCGCTTGGTGCATCTCCACCAGCGACTGCAGGCCCAGCCCACCACCAGAAGTGGGTGTGTAGAAGAACTCGGTGGTGGCGGACTGTGGCAGGCGTAACAGATGCCGCAACCCACGCTTCACGGCGCAGTCAAAGCCTTGAAGCTGTGAATGGAGCGGGCGCAGGTGGCGAAGGGCGTATTCCACTTTCGGGTATACGTATGTCTTCAACGCCTTCACCACCTGCCACACCGCTAGGCCAGACTGCATCAGCGCTACCGCCTCCCGCTTGATCTGTTGGAGTTTGGGCTCCAGCTGGAGGCGGTGCTGCACATGGTCGAAGCCATCGCCCACCCCCAAGTACCGGTAACTCTCGTTAAGGGTGAGTGAGGCGATGACATCACCATGAAGCTCCAAGCGGACGCTATCGTCAAGAGCCAGGTTGCCGCGGGCATTGGTGGTAACCGCGAGGCTAGCACACTTGGCCGGATTCGCACGCAACCCAGTCCAAGCGAGGAAGCGCGCTACCACGCCATGACAGCGTTGGATACCGGTGGCGCTGTTGCTGAACACCTTGATGTCGTCAGCATAGGCGGTGGTGCACGGCCGTACACCATCCGCCAGCGGCACACCGACATCCTCCAGCTGTTCCAAGCGGCGTACGAGAGGTACCAGTGCAGCGATAAACAAGAGTGGGCTCAAGGGACATCCCTGGTAGACCCCCACTTCCTGCCTCACTGGGTCAGTCGCACCGTCTTTTGCATTCGCCACCACAAAGGCGGAACCATCGTAAATGTCCTGGCATCGGCTGATAAACCGGGGCTCGACGCCAAGGCGGCGGAGCACCTGCCACATGAGTGCCTGTGGTAGCGAACCAAAGGCGTTGCGTAAGTCGTACCACACTTGGTACAACTTCCGGTGCGACCGTCGGGACTGGTCCAACATGGTAGTTGCCACGAAGTTGTGCTCGTGACAACCGTTGAAAGCCCGAAACCCCTTCTGCGCCATCGGCAACCGGTTGTTCAATTCCAACCAGCGCGATAGCCGACGTGCCAGCAGCCCGCTGTAGAGTTTGTAGATAGCGGGCTGCAGGCATATTGGTCGCCAGTTAGTCGGCTGCATCGGGTCACCCTTCTTGTGGATCAGGCGAACGACGCCCACCTTCCACAGCGAAGGCACCATCCGATGCAGCCAACAGAACTGGTACGCGGCATGCAAAAGGGGCACCAACTGCGGGGCAAACCGGCGATAGACATCATAGCCAACCCCATCGTGCCCGGGGCTGGATGCCTTGGCAGCCCGCAGTAGCTGGTCCTCCACTTCGTCGATCGAAATATCGCCGTCGAAACAATCGCCACCCAACGTGTCCATCGAGAAATCATGGAGCACGGCCCTAAACTCACTACCGACAGCAGCATCGTAGTTGAAGGGAGCTGGGGCCGTGCTCGTGCCCACAAAATGACGGTGGAGCTCCTCCCTGCCGATGGGGCAGGTGTCTGGATGCTCGACACCCGCGGTCTCCGCCGAGGCACCGTCCAAAATCTTGGCCACACACGTGGCTTCGTCCGTGGTGAAAGCTCGACGCAAGGCCAGCTGCGCCATCGATGCACGGATCCTTCCAACACGACGGCGAGCCTTCTGCACCGCTTGGCGATCACCCGGGTTTGCGCGCTGAGTCGTCTGCATGTCGTCCAGTGCCTCATCGAGACGATGCTCTCGGTGCGTGTGCGTCACACGTGGAGGTCGACGTTGTCGCTGGCGAGGCGGAGTAGCTCGAGGCCTGTCAGAGCTAGCCGAGACGATGGTGTACGGCAGAAGGGCTTCACGAAGGCGGTCAGGAATAGCAGAGATGTAGCCTTCCCCTGTAATCCAACTGTCTGCGTCCACAATCTTGCAAGCCATGACCTCGGCAAATCGCTGCACTGCAGCTGCAGCCGTATCATGTTCCGCCTCGGTCAACGGACGCAATCGAAGCCGAGGTTGCCGCTCGGGAGATGAGTCTGGGCCAATAGGCAAGGTTGGAAAGACCTCACCTCCATCACGAGCAGCAATATCGGCCTCAATGCCAAGACTGACTGTGTCCATCATCATGTCCTCGACACCAGAGCCATCAGCAGAAGTTCCCGGCTCTACCGGTGTAGCATCCGGCGGAGAGGAAGTCAGGATAAAGCAGCAATCCATGACGCTAGAATGAGGTCCACACTCGACGGCGGTGCGTCGGAGGTCAAGTGCACGGTTAGCAAGACGGTCGGCGTGGGCATTGGCTTGCCTGTCGATATGCCGAAGTTGGTGCCAGTCAAGTCGTGCCAACTCCGTTCGCACTTGACCTCGCAAGCGCCTGAGCCGTCGGTTGTGGCAGCCGAACGAACCGCGCACCTGAGCCAGCACCAGGTTGCTATCACCTTCGACGAGCAATCGCGTGGCACCATGGTGGACTGCGCTCTGGACCCCCACCAGTAGAGCTGTGTACTCAGCAGTGTTATTCGTTTCACCGCTGGCGGGGAGAAAGTGTGAGCAGGTCCACACCACGGTGCCACTCGAGTCAAAGAGAGCCGCACCAGCGCCGCCTTGGCCAGGGTTCCGTCGGCATGCACCATCGAAACGTAGAAGCCATGGCTCTGCCTCGGCGACACCAGCCGTTGCTGCCACTGACAGGGAGGGACCGGCGGGACGCGGTGCAGGTGTAGGCGGCGGGGCCGTAGAGGCAGGGGCAGGAGCATCTTCCGCAGCAGTCGCCCTGACAACGGATGAGGAAGTCCGTCGTAAGTAGGTTCGGCGCCTTGTTGAAGGCACCGTCACCACAACGCGAGGTCCCCAACGTGTCGTTGCTCGTCGAGGCGCTGCTGGCAGTGGGTCCCGAGCAGTGGGCGCCGGAACAGTCGTTTCGCCAGTGACAAGGTGGGCAACCGCCGCGGCCCCGATCGCGCAGTGACGTGGCCCCCACCGCGTGGCACGAGTGCCGGATGCAGCGGGAGTCAGAGGTCGTCGCACTGCCGGAGCCGGGGTTGCACGCACACCAGTCGGCGGCGTAGTGATGGATGCTGCGCCCACTGCAAGGTGACGAGGCCCCCATCGAGTCGATCGAGCCGTATCCCTATCTGCAACCACGAAATCCCTGCCGTGCATGTCGTCACCGCGACCCAGTATTGGGCCTGTATCCACGTGAGCGTCATCCATGAGCTCATCCGGGTCGGGAAACACCGCTGCCAAGTCATCAAGGCGGCGGCGTTTGCCAGCGACCCTGACTTCACGCTGTGGCAGAGATGGGCACCACATGGGGGGGACATGCTGGTGCCCGGCGGAAGCGAGAGCGGTAGGTACGGCGCTCTGTTGGTGGGCAACGTCTGCGGCTACAGTGCGGCTTGATGCATCTGCTGCTGCCGCAGACGCCGCCGCAAAGAGGGGCCCGGTAGGTGGAAGGACCACCTCTTCGTGCGAAACATCATGCACGGGACGAGAACGAGAGAGTGTGGGCGACGAACCGGGAGGAGCACGTGCAGCAGGGGGCGCATAGGACGGACTGTCACGGCAGCCCAAGGCATGTTTCGTAGCTGCTGCACGTGTCCTATGTCCAATCCCACACGTGCACCCGCTGTGGAAGCGGTCCACGAAGCAGGTGCCACGGTGGGCGGTTCGTCGGTGACTGGCCAGCGCAGTCATATCGCATGCAGTGTACGCACACAACGTGCATCGAAATGCGGGAGCGTTGTGGGCGTACACTGACACCACAGGGTCTTGCTGCCCGGTTACAGGCGGGGTTGTATGCAAAGCATGACCCTGGGCGCTCAAGGCGACGCGCTGGCTATGGTCAGGTGCCATGTCCACGTCAACGGCAATGGGCACGGTACCATCGACACCAGAAAAACGTTCATCGTACCCGACTCGGTCTGGCAGCATGTTCGCCTGCCAGCCGAGTCGGCCGTCACAGGTACGTGGGACAGAAACAGTTGCTGCAGTGGACACGGTCACGAGAGGTGCCGCGGCCACTGCAGTGTATCCAGCTCGAGCAGGCAGCTCCGTAGCTGCATGCCCGAGCTGGTCGTCATCACTGGAGTGCATGTCTGCGTCGTTGTCGTCCAACGAAGAGGAGTAGTCTGCTGTCCGAGTCCTCCCCGTCGCTGCTGCTGTCGTCCTCGGGGTCGCTGGAGCCATGCACGGCATCCAGTGCGCGAGCCGTAGCGGCTGCAAGCGCTGACCCGTTGGGCAGCATGCCTCCCGCCCTGCCGGGTCGAAAATCAACAATCGGGGGTCTTGGGGGCAAGGCGGGGGCCGGGGAGGCAGGCGGAGGGGCGCAGGAAGCCGTCGCACATGTCCTTGGACCCGGGCATGACGTCTGTGTGCACCCGGGGAGCCGTTGCTCTGAGTGTCCTGCTGGTCCACCCGGTCGGGCAGCATGCCTGCCGCCCTGCCGGGTCCGAACACCATCAATCGCAGTGGTCTTGCAGCTCGCTCCCACGTCTGGGAGGGCGCTTGCCGAAACGTCGTCCTCGGTCCTTGGTGCACGTTCTTGATACCCGGGCTGACGCCTGCTAGCCCCGGGGAGCCGTCGCTCTGCTAGTCCTTGTCCTTGTCCCGATACCCCGTCGGGCAGCGTAACGCCCGCCCTGCCGGGTATCCAACAATCGAACATCAGGGGGTCTTGCGGCGGCCAGCGGCAGCGGCGGGAGCGCGCGGGGACGCGTCGGAGAGCCAAACGGCGCGCGGAGGAGGCGGCGGGCGGTGTGCTTGAGGCCCCGAACGGGCCGACGCACGCTGCGCCATCTTGAGCCGAGGCCGTCGTCGCGTGTTGTTGCTCTTTGTGAGAAGCCACGGCGACCCCTATACTTAAGCCAAGTATAGGCCCGAAGGTACCTTCACCGGTACCATGACGGGGAGGATGTCGCCGGGCCTCTCCCCGGTCTTCGAAACGGTACCCAATGTCGGGACCGGAGGACCGGGGTCTTGGCCGCGCGCGCGCCAGAGACGTCGCTGCGCGCAGGCAGTTGCAGGGCCAGGGGCGAGGCGTGTTCCGAACACGTGCCCGAAGTGGCGGCGTCCAAGTCCGCGTCACCGCCGCGGGGCGGTGTAACGCGCGTGGCGGCGTTCGCGGCCCATTTTCGCCGTCATTTCGGTCGAAAACGGGGGCGCCAAAAATCACCTTGATGCGCCTGTCCCATGTCGGCTCGTCCCATCCCGTATGGTCCCACTTCAAGTGGGATAGGGACGGCGGAACGTTCCGGGAACAGGCGCATCTGATTTGCAGCCGTCCTATCCCCGATGACGAGTTGCGTGTCATCGAGGATGGAGGACGGCGATTGGTCGAAATCCACCCCAGTCTCCGCGTCAGACGACGCGTCGTAGAACGACCCGTCGCTGGCGAGACTGGAGTGGTCGTCCGTCGAGCACTCGCTGTCGCTGGACGGCGAGCGCTCCCGGAGCTGCCAGTCCGGCCACCAGAAGCGCATAGAAATGCGGAGGTGTAGAGCCGGGGCAGGACAAGAAAGGCCAAACAACAAACGAACAATGTATTGATCGATGTTAAGGGTAGAAAAGACTAAGTGTAGTACCTTGTGTATCGTCGGCCTCACGGGGGAAGGGTGAAGGCCCCCGGAGACCTGCGCAGTCGCCCGCGCGTGTCCAAAAATGAATGTGAAAAAGTCCGCCAAAAGGCGAAAACCAGTCTTCACACTGATTAGAACAGAGAAGTGTATGTATTACCATCCGGTTAGTCTATTTCTAAAGGGTATAGAAATACCCAATAGAAACTATGTGGTGTGTAAGTTGGGTACAGGTTGAACCACACAGAGCTAAACTATAACGTACCGGTTGGGTTTGAAGGGCGGTTCCCTACATGGGTATGGCCCTGTCGGCCACGATGGGCCCGAAAAACGCTTAGCGGCGGCCTTGACGTGACGGATTCCCCCCGGTCTCCGTCACTCGACTGCCCCTTGCATCTTGCCTTGGTCGGTCTTGACCTGTGCTGCGATCACGACCTTGATCCTGAGCGTCACGGAGACCTTGACCTTGAGCTTGAGCTTGACCTTGTTGCCTCGCACGGTGTCGGCTGCAGTGCAAATTCCATATGCGGCGGCTGGACTTGATGCATTCCACAGAAAGTTGCTTGTCCAGCCGCTTCGCATCGCACTTGAGCACACCAAGGTGATCGGTGTACACCGCAAGGTTACCACCGGCGACTGCACCAAGCGAACCATAGACGAGCGCGGAAAGGTGAACCGTCCAACCTTGACGCTCTAGGTGCCGCTTGACACAGTCGTACTTGGCGCGCTTTTGCACAGCCACCCGCGCAAGAGCAGAGCTGGCGACGTTGTCCGTAGCCTGTTCCTCAAAAGCCACGGCCAGATCCACCACAGCCACGATCTTCTTGCTGTGATTGAACAGCTGTAGATCTGGCCGCAGCGCTGGTCCGGCAAGTCCAGGCACCGTTTGGTTGACGCGAAGCTCTACCCGGTCTGTCTGCCCACCAGACCTCGAAAGTAGAGCCCGCTCGATGATCTTGAGAGCTGCATCGTGTCGGCCACGGATAGCATCCATTGTCCCATCGCAATGGTTCAAGATGTGAGCCAACGTCTCCGAGCGTGAGCATCCGGGATGCCGGCATGTATCATGCGCTCGAAGACGTCGGCGCTTCAGCACACTGAACGTATCCAGCTGGTTCAGGCGGGCAGCCACCGCGAACCGGTAGTCGGATTCCCACATGCCTCGCGGTCGAGTGACAAACCCACTACCGGCACCTCCATGCGTGCGTGCCGTCTTGCCTTGGTCCCGCATGGCTGCCCACCTCGTCCAGTGCTTGTTCTTGAGGTGCAACTTCACGTGCCGAAGGACATCCCGATTGTCCAACCACTTGGCGTGGTGCGGCACGCGAAGCTGCAATCGTTGTGCTGGCGTGTTAGTCTCCTCCACCGCCGGCGACTGCTCAAACTTCAAGCCGAAGCGGTGGAGGTGACCCTGGACGTCGAACCACAGCGACCCAATGTCACCGTTGCGCCGCTTGGGCGTCGCTGTGGCCGACGTCCCCAGCTTGCGGTTGAGGAGGAGCTCGCACAGCTCCTCCTCACGGTCCTGCCACGCTTGCACGTCCAGCTTGTAGCGTGCATCAGCTACCTGACGGAGTTGCTGGCGCGCAATGCGCTGGATGGCAGGGTCAGGAGAGTGCAGCATCTGCCATCCATGCGCGACTTGCAGCGCGCCATGCAGCTCCGTCAGTGGCAGCAGTCCAAGCCCTCCTCGCGACACAGGCGCGTAGAAGAACGCAGTGGTCGACGAGGTAGGCAGCCGCAGCAAGTGGCGAAGGCCGCGAACAAGGTGGCGGTCGAAGCCCTCCAGCTGCTGAGCGAACGGTCGCAAGTGCCGGAGGGCGTACTCGACCCGCGGGTAAAGGTAGACCTTTACCGCCTTTACCACTTGCCACGGGGCCAGCCCGGACTGCAGCAACGCAGTGGCGTCAAGCTTCAGCTGTGCCAGAGCAGGCGCCAGCTCCACCCGCCGACGCACATGGTCAAAGCCATCCCCGATCCCCAAGTACTTGTACGAGTCCGAAGTACTGAGCGCGGGGATCGGGGTGCCATCGAGCTGCAGTCCAAGGCCCTGTGTCTTGAGCACGCCACGGTTATCCCGCTGGACTGACATGGCGCTACACTTCAGTGGGTTGGCCTTCATGCCAGTCCAGCGGAGGAAGTCTTGCACCACCGAGTGTTGACGCGTAACTCCGTCCACGGTGCTGCTGAAAATCTTCAAGTCATCCGCGTAGGCAGCAGCACCGGGACGGTCAACACTCGAGAGCTTGACGCCTGTATCCGGAAGCAGCTTGAGCGCGTAAAGCAATGGCGCAATCGCGGCGGTGAAGAGGTGTGGGCTGAGCGGGCAGCCCTGGAACACCCCCACCTGCAACGCAATCGGCGCCGTGGTCCCGTCCGCCGCATTCCCAATCGTGAACGCGGCGTCGGCGTAGAGACCACGGCAGCAAGCGATGAACGCGGGCGGCACACCCTGTCGCTCGAGCGCTTCCCAAAGCAAGTCGTGTGGCACGCTGCCGAAGGCGTTGGCGAAGTCGTACCACACGACATGCAGCTCCTGGTGCTTGCGGCGCGCTTGGTCAACGAGCGTGGCTGCGAGGAAGTTGTGCTCCCCGCAGCCGTTCATCGCTCGGAAGCCCTTCTGCGCCTCAGCATGGCGGCCGTTCACATCCAGCCAGCGCGTGAAACGCCGCGACAAGACCCCAGCGTACAGCTTGTAGATGGCCTGCTGCAGGCAGATCGGTCGCCAGTTCGACGGGT